GAGTGGCGCTCATTGGGCTCCCACTTGCTGTCCTTGTAGCTGTCGTTCCATCTCCATCCGGATGACCAGTCGCCCCGATGCTCGTTTTTCCAAGGCCTGTCCCCGTAGCTCTCCCAGGTCGAAGCTGGAGTCCAGGTGGATCGCGAAGAAGCCCACTGCTGCTCGCCAGGCTTGTAGTCCGGTTCCTGCCATGTGCTTCTCGTCGCGTCCCAGCCACCCGAATGCCACTGCTCCGACCTGCCCTGGGACGTCTCGGTGGCGGACGCGGCCGCGCCACCACCAGACCATGTCCCGGCACTCGTTGACTCGTGCTCTGGCGGTGGTGCATGCCAGCCTGACCACGAGCGATCCTCGGCGCTTGACCACGGAGCACTTGAGCTCTGCCCGTGACCGCGCCGACGTCCACTGTCGTCGTCGTCCCCATGTGGGTCACGCTGGTGACTCTGGGAACTGGCCGGCACCACGTCCAGTAGTAAAAGACGTGACAACTTCTCTGCCTCATCTTGGTCGAGGTTGAGACCGTCATGCCTCATCAGTGTGTCAGTCACTGCCCGTACTGCAGAATGCTCCCTTCGTTCTTCTCGCTGCGTCTCTCGATTAGCACCTTGCTCCGCTGCTGCCGTCATTGGTCCGCGGACTCAGAGCTGCTCACAGCTCCGCTACCACTGTCGCCCGACGGACGACAGCAGTGAAGCCAAAGTGTCGGATCCTTTCTCCAGCAAGAGAACCCTCGCACTCTCTTCTCAGTACACAGCTCCCAACGCTGTACAAACAAGGCACGGAACGGTATGGGAAAGGAAGAGGGGTAGGGTGGATATGGTATGAGTGATGAGGAATGAGTAGAAGTTGGGTCTTGAGCCAAAATGGTTACGACCCATGCTCGTGACATTCAAGTTCAGGGAGTTTAGCAGGGGCATCGGCCTTGAAAACCACAGGCCTCTAGATTCAAATCACACAAGGAGGGAGGGAGGGGAGGGCACTAGTTCTTCCTCCCCTGCAAAGGATCGCGCCGCATCGCCAAAGCATCAGCGATGCATCAGCGATGCATCTCCGATGCATCGGCACTGTAGGCGTGGAGAAAATCGGGCTCCACATCCAGCCGCATCGCCGATGCATCGGCGAGGCGGCGCTGTCCCCCGACCCCATGTACTCAGACCCCATCTGGGAGTCCTAGAGCAAGGGCGTGAGGCTTGCCCCTCTGGCGCCTGCATCATCTTCCGCGCCGTCGCCTCGTCCATGAGGCCTCCGCTGCTCCCGCCGGTGCCCTCCTCCATGAACCTCCTGTCCAGGTCAGCGTCGGTGTAGCCCAGCGCTCGCTTGCCCCGCTTGTCGAACACGCCGTCTACCCCGGGCCCCTGGCCCGCGCTGGGGTGGAGGGAACCACAGGCAGACAAGCGCGTTCCACTACTCGAAAAGTAACTACTCGCAGATGGCCTGGATCTGCCATGGGGGGGGGCGCAATACACTACGTCGAGGCGCTTGCGAGTTGGCACTCTGCGAATAATGGAACGCGCTTGGTGAACAGGGGGGGGGCTCGATCAGGGGGGACGCTGACCTGGAACTGGCGATGCGTCGCGAACAAATCGGCGAGATGGCTTCGAGAACGGAGCCGAATGCTCCTGGGTGGGGTGCGTCACCCAGCCCCGATCGGCGAGGGATGGGCGATTGGAGGTCGACGCTTCCCTTCCTTTGGCCAGTCCCGCCCTGAGGAGGCGGGATGGCATCCACACCCAGCGCTCCGCAGAGGAGGGAGGAGGGAGGAGGGAGTCCTCGAGGGCGCGTCTCCAGGCTAGTGCATACCGTCGACGCGTGGCCAGAAGAGCGCAGACCAAGAGCACGAGCCCCCTCGCCGAAGGCCCGGCACCCAGAGGAGATGCCCCAAACGAACAACGCTCCAAGGTGGAGGGCCCAAGAACGAAGAAACAGGAGGGTACCACTCCAAAGCTGGGGTTGCTATCGTGAAGGGGCCCTGGGACACACAAATAAATACCCATACGACCACCCTTCGGGTGATGAGGAAGTTGGGGGGGGGAGGAACCAACGTCTCACTCGGTCGGCCTCGCTATCGATCTCACTATCGGTCTCGCTCGATCGATCTCACTCGATCGATCTCACAATCGATCTCACTCGATCTACTTCACTCGATCGATCTCACAATCGATCTGACTATCGACCTCAATCGATCTTACAATCGATTTCACTATCGATCCCACGATCGATCTCAAAATCGATCTCACATTCGGTCTCACTATCGATCCCACTATCGATATCACAATCGATGTCACAATCAACGTCATCATCATCATCATCAGCAACATCATCGTCATCAACGTCATCAACATCATCATCCGCATCATCATCATCGGGACACCATCATAATCATCACCTCATCACCATCATCACCATCATCATCATCGTAATCATCGGGACACCATCATCGTCACCATCATCATCAACATCATCATCACCAGGACACCTTCATCATCGTCATCAGCATCGGAACACCACCATCATCATTATCATGTCATCATCATCATCATGAACCGCATCATCCACATCATCGTCTCGGGACTCCATCATCATCATCAGCAAACATCATCATCATCAACATCACCATCGGGACACCATCATCATCGTCACCATCATCATCATCATCATAGGAACACCATCATCATCAACATAATCATCATAATCATCGGACCACCATCATAAAAATCATCATCATCACCATATCATCATCATCCTCATCACCAACATCATTATCATCATCGGGACACCATCATCGTCACCATCATCATCACCATCGGGACACCATCCTCATCAGCATCATCATCTCCATCATCATCATCAACAGCATCATCATCAACCTCATCATCACCATCATCATCGGGACACCATCATCATCACCTTCAACATCCGCATCATCATCATCATCATCTCATCATCTCATCATCGTCACCATCATCACGATCATCAACCTCATCATCATCGAGGCACCATCATCATCATCCTCAGCAACATCCGCATCATCATCTACATCATCATCGGGACACCATCATCATTAATTACCACCATGGCCATCGTCATCACCATCACCATCATCATCAACATCGTCAACATCCTCATTATCATCATCATCATCATCATCATCATCATAATCATCATCATCATCATCATCATCATCATCATCATCATCATTGGGTTACCATCAGCATCATCACCATCACCATCATCATCATCACCAACATCATCGACATCATCCTCATCATCATCATCATCATCATCATCATCATCATCGGGACGCCGACCGGACACCGGCGGGACACCGGCGGGACACCGCGGGCCACTGGCCCCCGGAAACGAATTATTTGGTCCGGCCGCGCCTTAGCCGGAGGCGGGACACCGGCGGGACACCGCGGGCCACCGGCCCCTGGAAAGGAATCATTTGGTCCGGCCGCGCCTCAGCCGGAGGAGACTTTCTTCTCGCCCGCCCACGCAGCTTCGCCTCGCCCGCACACACGGCAAGCACGAACACGAAAGCGAAACCGATTTCCTGGTAGGGGGCTCTCCGTTCCACTGCGATCTCACCCCCTCATCTCCGACACACAAATAAAAGGATTCCCCATTTTTCCAATACCTATACGACCACCCTTCGGGTGATAAGGAGGTTCGGCGGGGGGGAACCAACGTCTCATTCAATCGGTCTCACTATCGGTCTCACTATCGATCTCACTATCGATCTCACTATCGGTTTCGCTCGATCGATCTCACTCGATCGATTTCACAATCGATCTCACTCGATCTATATCATTCGCTCGATCTCACAAGGGACCTGACTATCGATATCACAACCGTCATCACAATCGATCTCGCATTCGGTCTCACTATCGATCTCACTATCGATATCACAATCGGTCTCACAATCAACGTCATCATCGTCATCGACAACAACATCACCATCAACATCATCATCATCATCAACATCATCATCGGGACACCATCATCATACTTTCATCATCATCGTTAACATCATCATCATCCATCGTGGCACCATCATCATCATCAGCAACATCATCATCAAGCATATGATCATCATTATCACCATCGGGGGGCCATCATCGTCATCACCATCATCATCACCATCATAATCATCATCATCACCAGGACAGCATAATCAGCATCATCACCATCATTATCAACTTCATCGTCGGAGACCAATCATCATCATTCATCTGCATTCATCCCCTTACATCAACAACACATCGTTCTATTCACCATAGCATCATCATCACCGGGACACACGCATCGTCCTTCATTCATCTTTCAACATAACTCATCATGAGAGATAGATATAGAGTAATCATCGGGGCACTCCCATCATCATCATCATTCATCGATACAGCAACATTCATCATTCATCGGGGGGCTATATCATCATCTCTCATCATCATTTATCATCAATATGGGACACCATGTTCATCCACCATTCATCATGCATCACCTCATCACCATTATCAGACACCCTTCCCATCATAATTCAATCGGGACACCATCATCATCACATCACCATCATCATCATCATCATCATCATCATCATCATCATCATCATCATCATCATCATCCACGTCATCATCGGGACACCGACGGGACACCGAAGGGACACCAGCGGGACACCGGCGGGACACCGCGCGGCACCGGCCGCCCGGTCAAGGTTCTTTTGCCCCGGCCGCGCCTCAGCCACACGGGACACCAGCGGGACACCGGCGGGACACCGCGGGCCACCGGCCGCCCGGAAGGGAGACATTTGGTCCGGCCGCGCCTCAGCCACAGGAGACTCTCTCTCGCCCGCCCACGCAGCTTCGCCTCGCCCGCACGCACGGCACGCACGAACACGAAACCGAAATCGATTTCCCGGTAGGGGGGCTCTCCGTTCCACTTCGATCTCACCCCCTCACCTCCGATTTTCTGGGTTTTTGTCTCCCCCCCCACTTCACATATTTTCCCATATTTTCCGGGGAATCGACGATTAGTTGTGTCTGTGTGTTTTTTCCCTCCTGCTATCAACCCCCGTGCCAACTGCATCAGCAAATCCCTGGCATGGGCCTGGTTGCCGGCCAGCGTCTCGCGGGAGTAGATGCAGTGACCGACGTGGAAGCCCTTTCGCAGGCTCTCGAGCTTCATGCTGATGAGTGCCGAGGGCTTGTTCGAGGCGGCGAGGTGCTCGTCCAGCAGCTGCAGGTCCTTGTCGACGTCCTTGCCCATTGCCTCGCGGATCGACATGGCGTCTTCCAGCTTAGTGGCCGCGCCCTTGTCCAGACGGTGCTTGCGGGCCATCTGGCGCACCGCCTCCCCGCACTTCGCCTTGCCGACGAACACGCCTTTCTCCATGTCCTTGAGCTTGATGGCGAGGAGAGCCCGCGGGGTGTGTGCACCTTTCAGGACCTCGAGCAACTTGTCCATATCCTGCTCCCAAGTCTTCTGGCGATCCTCGATCATGATGTCGTTGAGCTTCTGCGTCAACTCCGCGTCGATGCCGAACTGGAGGCAGAGCTGCTGGATGTCGGGCTCGATGGGGTAGTGCTGGCGCTCCCTTTCTGGCTCCGAGCTCGAGTCGTCTTCGTCCCTGTCACCGAGACAAAACCCTCCCACACGCCTACACCTGCTACCTTCACACACCTCTGCAAAAGGAGGGACCGATTGAGACGGAAGGGGAACGGGACGAGACATAGCAGAAGATCGGGAAGAGAAGGTGGAGACAAGGGGGAAGCAGGAGCAGGACGAGCAGATGGAGGAGCAAGAGGTCCGCATCGATCTCACAAGTGGTAGCACCTTCGCCACAGGGCAATACCAGCACGTACAACAGTAGACGTGCACACTCACCCGTTCGACAGTCCTCGCTGGCTCCAGACCGTCGTGCCGACCGTCAGGCACACGCTGCCTCACCACTGTGAAGGGGCCCCAGGACACACAACTAAATATACACACAAATGACATGATTCCCCACATTTTCAGCTATTCTCTTGGTTTTTGCCCTCCACCCCACTTCCCAGATTCTGAAATATGTTCCCGGGGGTCGACGATTCATGGTGTCTGTGTGTTTCTTTCCCTCCGTAGCCCCCTGGCTCAAGCTGTGAGGGGGCACCCCCCGTCTCGAGGAGGCGTCCGACGCACCGCCTGGGCCGCGCGCCGGCCCCCCACGCGCGCCCCCGCGGCGCTCCTCGCCTCGCGTTGCCCTCGGCTGCCCTTCGACGCGATCGATCGCTTCCGAATGGCGGACGACACGATCGGCTGCCCTTCGACGCGATCATCGCGATCGATCGCTTCCGAATGGCGGACGACACGATCGATCGCCCTCGGCTGCCCTTCGACGCGATCGATCGCGATTGATCAGGCCCACCACCGAACCTCCCCCCGCGCCCCGCCCGGAGGTCACCGAGCGGGAGCTGGTGGGACAGCGCGTGCCTGAGCCCGAACCCACGGCCGCGCCAAGAGACGAGCGGGGGCCGGAGGGGAGGGAGGAGGTTGTGAGGCACGAGTCTTTGGAGGTAGGTGGCCCCACGTCCACCGCCGCAGGGGAGTGGGGTGAACTTCAGGACGTGCAAGCCAGCACTGGGGCTGCCGCAGGCCCTGAACGTTTACAGCCGACTGGACATACCTCAACGACTGACACCCTGATCCCCGTCCCCCCCCCACCGCCGCCAGGCCCAGGCAGCCCAGGAGCTGGGGAGTGCACGGCGGCGGACCCGCCCACGGGGGCGAGAGCTGGTCACCCGCCGAGTGCCCCACCCCGTGAGGGCCACACCCCACCTGCCCCCTATCCTTCCTCTCCTCCCCGCGTGCAATCTGGAGATGCGACCGTTCGTCGCCCTGATCCCGCGTGTGTCCCTGGACAGGCAGACCTTCGGCATTTTGACGCCTCGACTCCTCTCCTCCCCCCTATCTCACAGGCAATTGCGACCGTTAGTCGCCCTGATCCCGCTGCCGACGAGCAGGCCTCTCCCGTTCCTTTCCCTGATCACTCTGGCTATGCGACCGTTAGTCGCCCTGATCCCACCGAAGGTCCCGTTCGCCCCCGCCCTACCTCTCCTCTCTCTCCCCAGGTGGAGGTGGCTTCTGAACAACCTGTGCCCCTGACCCCCTCTCACAGGCTATACGGAGATTGTTGCTGGACGGGACCTGGATACCATAGCAGGTGGTGAAGGGCCGACTGGAAGGCTGGGAGGCCACAATAGACTGCAGACGACAGGGAGCAGCAACCACGACTCCCCAGGACGGCCGACCACGCGGACCGACCAGACGGCTTTCCCCCCTTCCCGCCACGACGAGGAGGACACAGGATCGCGGATCAGCGCCGATCGCCCAGCTCTCCCTGCCCAACTAGGCACCACCTCTGGACCTGCTATCCCCCCCAATGCGTCTAACGATTCCCCCCCCCCTAGACGGCGCCCAAATCCCGGCAGAAAGCACGGGCATCGACGCGGACGGTTCCCGCGACCAAACTGGCCCTGCTGCACCATCAAACGGCCCAACGGCCGAAAGGCAGGACGAAACACCCGCACCCCGAGGGAACGTACCCGGCGTGGCCGTGGGCGCTGCCACACCCACGGCATCGCACAACGCGGGCGCAGCGCACCCCGTGGACGTGGAGCGCGCCCCTGCCGCTGCCCTACCACGGCGGGTGCAGCACGAGTCAACGAGCGACTCTGGACCCCCGCCAGTAGCAGACCCTGCCGCAGACGGTGTCACGTGGACCTGCACTGTACGCAGGTCCCAAAATCCCGCTTTGCAGCTTGCCTGCGGATCACAGCGACCGTTCGCGGACATTCCCGAAATTGCCGGGAGACCGCGTCCAGGAATGCGCCCCGACCCTGGCGCGCACGGGAGAATGCGAGGCAGCGACGTGCTAAGGCCGTGCCAGAGATGCCCCGCGCTTACGCCCATCACCGAAGTGCACTGCGCCCACTGTGATCACGGACGGCCGAGGGACTTTGGGCAATGGGGCCCCTCGACGACGAGGACGACCTGCTATGGGCCCCCCGATCCCCTCACCAGAGTGCAGCCTTCACTGACATGATGAATTGGTTTGCGGGAGGATATCGTCGAGACCCACCGCAATGCGGCAGACCCAAGCGCGGACTCCGAGGCAAACCAGACAGACGGCATCCCCGCCAGCACAGAGGTCGGCACACCCTCGAGCGCACTGGGCGCAGCCGACGCCACCGGGCTCCTCTGGTCCCTGAGCGGCCACGACCGCGTGGTGCGGCGAGGCGGGATAGAGCCGCGCACCTACGAGCTCCTCGCGATGCGGTTCGCGCACCTTAACCAAGTTGTCCAGCACGCACGCCCTGAACCGCTCGGTCGACCCCACGCAACACGGGCGGAACGAAGCATCGCCAACGCCCAGTCGCAAACCATGGAGGAAGCTGCGCCGCAACTCAACATGGGACTGCAGCCGCAGCGCGCGGGACAAGGACTCGACCTATTCCCCCAGACTGGACTAGAAGTAGGGCCCCCCGACCGTACACAGGTCAGAATTGCGCTCATATGGGAAGGCAGGTACGGCAGGATGTCCTTTCCGTCTACGCGCAACATGTTCACATGGGCATGACTCACAGCAGCGGGCGCCTTCCCGGACCGCGCGGTAGACGCCATCGGTGCGTCGCCTGCGGGCTTCCCTAGGGCTTGCCCAGACGTCATAGGACAGCACCTGCGGGGCTCCGGGGACGTGCCCCTCTTGCTGCCTGACAGCGATGGGGCAGGAGACATGCGTCTCTCCACGACCAGACCGGTCACGGCTACATGGCCAAGAAGGGAACCTCCCCTCGTGCTACCCCATGGATTCAACCCCCACGTACAGACCCAATGCGGCACCTGCGGCTCCTGGAAATTCCGCGGGGGGGCCCTGGCAGGAATGTGCCCGGTCTGCCTTAGATTCAGTCGTGCGACTATGCAGGAAGCCGACGACGATGAAACCATACCTGTCCAAGTAGTCCCAAGCGACTGGATACAAAGGCTTCCATTCGACTGTCTGGGCGACACAGCCCTCTCAGCCCTGGCACATGCGGCGCAGGCCTACGCACCGCTATGCTCACCAGGGGAGGGACAACTCGTTGCCTACACACCCTCCTGGCTCGTGGGGGAGCTGCTCCTAGCCTGGAAATGGATGGTGGACTCGGAGGACTCCCCATGGGCAAACCCCGCGGCCAGCGACAGCCAGCACGGAGCCGCGGCGGCACTCTCCGCGCTACGCGGATCGAACCTGCGGCACGCCACGGACCTCGCCTACGTTATCCGAGCGCAGGCCCTGAGGAACCGCGAGGTAGCGGAGTGGTTACCACGAGCCATTACAACCACGCACGATACTATCCCACCCGCCCCAGGCACCAACGGCGGTCAAACACAAGCCGACGACCGCAGCGAGCTAGGAGGCATGACCAGGCTAGTAAACTTCGGGCTCTCCGACAGGAACGTAGACTGGATTGCCCACATGACTGGTCTCAGTAGACACCAGGCCGAACACCCCGACGACCCCCTCTTCCTGGCACGGCACCAGTATGGGGGCGACATGACCGGCGAGGAGCAAGAGGTAGCCCTAGAAGGGATAGCAGCCCTCACGACAGCGGCTCAACACGACCGCCGCCACGACATTGCCAACCTGCGACCCATGTCTCTACTGGGCAGAGCGCTCATGTGCATGATGGTCAGACGGCTCCGCGCTGACGCCGAAACGACGAGCACCAGGACGGACCAAACGGCCGCCACGCCACCGCGGGCTGGTAGCGATGCGGCAGACGTGGCCCCATTCCACCGCGGGTGGACGTGCCGAGCACACGCGCGCCCCCACCTCCCACGACCAAAGCGCGCACGAAGATCCAGCGCACATCAACAACGCTGGGCCCACGATTCCCATGGAAGTGGACGCAGGACACTCCATCGACTCAGCCCAAGACCGTGGATATAGTAGAGGCGACAGGCTACGCGCAGGAGCGACAGACGGGCTCGCAAACCGCGCTGGACAGCTAACACGGACCATACAAAACGAGATCGCGCACGTAAGGCAGGCCATGGCGAACCGCACGCTACAGAACTATACCTGGAGCGGGTACCTGGTCCCCTTCCTCTGGCTGTCAGCGGTCGAAGCCACCAGAGAGGCACTGCGACTGTCACTGCTGGCCGCGGGAGTGCTGCTCAACGGCTTCCGGGCGATGGTAGAGTGGTGGGAAGGACGGATCGTAACGATGAGCGATGACGCGCTCCGGATCCTGCGAGGAGAGGCACAGGCACTCTCGCAACGCAGCGGCCTGAGCGTTCCTGCCCCCCAGGAATGGGGCTACCTGCATGCACGGTTACAGGAACACCTGGTTGACCTCGCGGACCCGCACGGATGGGTACAAGCCGATGTTACGCTTGGGCCACAAGGAGCAGGCGCGCCGCCTCCTCACGGAGCGCGAGAACCGCCCGCACCGAAGGGACCTCCACAGGCCCGACGCATGGACGCCGACGGCAGCGGCGTCTCGCACGCAGACCACCGTATCCTCACCAGCTCGAGCGTGCGGATTCTGCCACGCCCCATCCCGCACCAGCCCGAATGGTGCACGCTCCTGACTATCCACGGCATCGCTAGCGCTCTAGATCGCAGGGACCAGACCGACGAAAACGCCAACGCTCCACACGCCGCGCTACCTGACGACGGCTGGGTGGACGGCGCCGCGGCGCAAAGGGCACACGACATGCTGAGGGACATCCCGGGCCCTGGCGCCAATCAGGGCCAGTGGATTTCGGCAGTGATGCGGCTCATCCTGCGCCCCCACTATCGCTCCTTGCTGCGACCGCTGCTCGTGAGGAGGCGGATCGACGGAGTACCCTTCGACGTTGTCGCAAG